CCCAAATTTCGACGGAATCAAAGGCTTTCTCATAGTCCACATACGCCAGGCAAAGTGGCAGATTGTACTCTTCAGTCTTCTGTACAATCTGACGCAGGGTATGTATGTGGTCTATGGTACTGAAGCCTTTTCGGAAACCGGCTTGTTCGGGAGGCTGGAAGTCGTCGAGTCTGCGTGCGAGACGATTCGTAATGACTCTCGAAAACAGCACGTAGACGCGGCTCAGAAGGGAAATCGGTCTGTAGTTCTTCAAGAGAGCATTGTCGCCTTTCTTAAAGAACAAAACCACCGCACTTCTGCTCCACGCCTCTGGAGTAGTGCCACCATGGAGGACGGAATTGAAGAGCTTCTGAAGGACTTCAAGTACCGGTGTTCCACCTGCTTTCAGAAGCTCCGCTGTAATTCCATCCTCGCCTGGGGCCCTGCCGTTTTTAAGGTGCTGGAGAGCCATTCTAATCTCGCTTAGACTGACGTCCGGGATATCATCGGAATAGTGTCGGATAAGACTTGCTCTTGGATCGTTATTCACACTTGCGTGTGGCTCCAACGATGATGTGTACAGCTGCCCATAGAACCTCTCAATCTCACTCAAAATCTCAGGTGTCCCGGAAACGATGCTGCCACACTCAGTCTTCAGCTTTGACAGTTGGCTCTTACTGGCAGACAGATCTCTGGCAAAGACTGGAGCCCTGGTTCCGCTCGATCGCTTCTTTAATACGAGCAGTATTAAAGTTGCGTAAGTCTCGCCGCATGCATTTGGAGATCTGTCTGTTCAGTTGCCTGTATGCTGTCAAATCTGTTGACAATTGCAGCCTCATCTCCTGTCTAACAGCCATAAGATTAAGAGTGTGATCGGAGAGTTTTTGTGTTCTTCTGCGGCGGGTCTTGCAGAACTTAGCTCCGACCGCATGGACAGTTTCCACGAGCTAGTCATTCATATCGTCCACTGCATTGCAATCTTGTAGGCACTGAAAGCGGTTACGTAACTCGAGCTGAAAGTTTTCGGGATTCTGGATTAGAGCACGAGGGGGACGGAGCGTTGACTTCATTAGACGAGACCTCTCCAACTTAACGTTTAGGTTCAGTGTGCCTCTAACCATTCGGTGATCGCTGCCAGTTTTCACCCTTGCGATCACTGAGACATCACTGAACAGTTGGCGTCTGGTCGTCATAATGAAGTCAATCTCATTTTTTGTCGAACCGTCGGGGCTCGACCAGGTCCACTTCCTGTGGGGCCGCTTCTGGAAGAAAGAGTTCATCATAAAGAGTCCCTCTTTCTCCATAAAGTCGGCCAGCTGCTGGCCCCTTCGGTTCCGTTGCCCTACTCCAAATTTCCGTAACTTCAGCTCACCGTTTTCACTTGTGCCTAGTTTTGCGTTGAAGTCTCCCATCAACACCGTGTAGTGGGTTTTGGAGGAATGCATGGCTTTGGAAATATCCTCATACATTTCCTCCACCTCCTCATCGGGATGTGCCGAGGTTGGCGCGTAAACCTGTATGACCTTCAGCGAATACCGTTTGGTGATTCTGAGTATCAGGTACGCGACCCTCGTCGACACACTCCCAATCTTTACAACGTTGTTGACGAGAGACTTGTGGACGATAAATCTGACACCTCCTTGGGACAGATGGTCGCCCTCCCGGTGATAGAACAAGTTGCCGGATTCGAGAATCACCGTGTCCTCCCCCTCTCTTCGGACCTTGGATAATCCTATAATATTCCAGCGCATCTTGTCTATCTCTTCTTCCAGTTCCAGGATGTGTGTGTGTGCGTTAAATGTTGTCAGGTCGAGTCGTCGTAGGTGGCAACCGACCCTCCACCAGAGATTCTTAGCACCCCCTGCCCCGCCGTTACCATTGTCGCCACCGTAGCCAGGAATAGCGGGGCCGCCGGGGACTGGGGGCCGTCTATTTGTGTAATTGTTCATGGGGGGTATATTGCCATAGTTGCCACGCTTGGCGAGCGGGTTGGCAACCGCAGTTTTTTTTTGTCGTACAGTTGCTGTTATCAGGAAGATGCTGCTGCCCATCTCCTGCCTGTTTCCCTCTGCACTGCAATATTGCACTGTTAATCTGTGTAGGGATGAAATGACCTGAAATACCATCAAGGTATTGTTACTTTAACTCTATACTGTACCATATCAGTACTGTGAGAAGTGTTAGTTAATGAGGTATTCATTACATAAAATTTAAAAAACTTATGAAATAAAGCTATTTTTTATGTATTTCCTAAGATCAAAAAATTTTTTAGATGTTTTCTTATGAAACAATTTCTATAAGCAGTAGTTTTCGCGCCAAATAACGAAAATAATCTCTGAAATATGAGTTGTCAAGTAATTAGTAATCACTCATCAATAGTGTCCGTGGGTGTGTGACTGATCGAGTACCAATACTAGTACTTTTCTTTCAATAGTACTTGGTACTCAGTTTTAAAGTATCAATACCAAAAGTCCCAGGTATCGAAAGAAAAGTATAGAGTAAGTACTTGTAATTATTTACTTGTATTGTTTCATCCCTAACTCTGTGTAAGGAAAATAAAGGCGCGCCGGCGGCTACTGCGTTTTTTTTAAAAACCGATTACTCAATGGCCGAGTACTCGATAAATCACTACTCTATATTAAATTGAATACTAAGCATTATTAGTACTGTTGGGCACATCTGGATATTTTTAAATCAAAAATAAAAATGCTCCTTTTAAATAATTTGTTACATAAATAAGACAAACTTAAAAGCTTAAAAAGAATAGCTGAAGCCTTCCTTTCTGATAATTTCAGTTTGTATAACCATTTGAAAACTGAAACTTGCACACAGTTTTATGAATTACCTTGAGTACAAATAAAATTCTAATAAGTCAGAACTTGATTATGTCAGGAGGTCTGCAGATGCTACTCAATCACCCTCAATTTATCAACAATCAACTCTTTCAACTAATTAAAACATACTTTTATAATAACTAATTGTGGCATATCATATACTCTATACATGTAACAAGTCATTTAATATGTTGTGACAAAAATAAGTCAAGGTTGAAATTGTTTATGCTGCATCGGCACACCTGATAAACCTAAAAAAGCTGTCACAAATTCAAATGTGTGGATAGAGTGTTTGGCAAATCAAAGAGAATTTGCCGCAAGCATTTGGGACGCGTCTGTCTCGTTTGTGCATTGGTGGCGATAATAAGAACTTAATTAAAAAAATAACCTGATATGTTTTTATGAATTTTTAACGTCCATCATCTTCTTTGTCGCCGTTTTGATTTTCTTTCACCTGTTTTCTTGTATTTATATATAATAATAATAATAATAATAGCCTTTATTTCAGACATTATTTCATTTATAGTATCTATCTGGATTAATCTATATCTAACACTGGATTATATATTATATATTTACACTCTCAACGCTTAACTTTGTACATCGACAACCCTGTCTGTATGCCACTTATTGGCAAAGGCCTCCTCCAACCTTTCCCATTCTTCTCTAACCTTAGCACTTTCCGTCCATATGCCTCCTGCTATGGCTTTAATATCATCCTCCCATCTTCTACATGGTCTACCTTTTTTCCTTTTCATATGACCTGTGAATCAATTCATTATCGATTTCAACCATTTCTCCTTTCCTCTAATTATATGGCCTGACCATTTCCATTTTAACTTTTTTATTATTATTGTGACATCTTTTGTTTTCGTGTGTTTCTTTATGGTTTCGATTCTTATTCTATCGGATAGCCTTTTCCCCATCATACTCCTTTCCATGGAATTTTGGCATGTTTCTAACTTTTTAATGTGTGCTTTAGTGAGTGCCCAGGTTTGGCAGCCATAAGTGAGTATAGATAGTATGCTGGTATCAAAGAGTTTCCGTTTGATGGTTATGTTAGTGTCGTTACTTTTCATTATTTCTTTTAGGCTCCAAAATTGTTTCCAGGCATTTCCAATGCGTACATCACACATCTGACATATTCTTTTGAGGTTAGATTTATAGGAGAGATTATCTGGCCCAAATAGATGTATTCATTAAAATATTCAATCAGGTTATTATTGATCATAATAGGTTCTTCCTTGCCATTGGTCATAGCCTTGGTCTTTAATGTGTTCATGACCAATCCCACATTGCCATTTTCCCTAACCAGGTCATTCAGCATCGCCTGCAGTCCGTCACTCGATGACGAGAGGATTATCAAATCATCGGCAAATCTCAAATGTGACAGGTTTTCGCCGTTAATGGACAATCCACATTTCTCCCAGTCTAATTGATGAAAGACTTCTTCCAAAACGGCTGTGAAGAGTTTCGGCGATAGCGGATCGTCCTGACGTACGCCTCTTCTTATTATAATATCTTTACCTTCCTTCTCTAGTTTTATCTTAGCCTTGCTGTTATCGTAGATATTTTTTAGTATTCTGATGTATTTATTTTCAATACCTTGGTTTTTGAGTGCCTGCCAAAATTTTTCATGCTCTATTGTATCGAAAGCTTTACTGTAATCCACAAAGCAGCAGTAAAAGGTTATGTTGTATTCATTGGCTTTTTCGAATAGTTGCTTGATGACATGAATGCGGTCTAAAGTTGAGTATCCGCTCCTGAAACCCGCCTGTTCTCTTGGTTGATTTTCATCCAACATGCTAGTTATTCTATAGAATATAACTTTTGCGAAGATTTTATATATATTCGACAATAGACTTATAGGTCTGTAATTATTAATGTTATTTTTATCTCCTTTTTTGTGTAGAAGTACTATTGTTGACGTTGTTCATTGGTAAGTTATTATCTCGCTTTGTAAGACTTCATTGAAAAGATGTTTGAGAATTGGTATCAGGTGGTTTCTATTTAGGATGAGGAACTTGTTACTTATGCCATCTAATCCTGGAGCTTTATCTGCTTTTTGAGTTCTCACAGCTTTTTCTATTTATTCGTGTATTATATCCGGTACTTCACTTCCTCCTGTTAGGATTGTTGTCTGTGCAGTGTTTTTCCTTGAATACAATTCTTCAAAAAATTGAGTGGCTATTGATATGATTTTAGGGCGTCGCGTCGCTTCTCGCATTTATGATTTTTATTTATTAAATTTGGTATCCAATCTCGTTTTTCCAATAGTAGTTTGGCTGTTTTTTTGGTGCCTCCGGTTCTTTGTATGCATTTTTTCAGTTGTTCTAATCTATATCTCTGACGGTCTTTTCTCATGTGTGATTTTATTTTATTACTTAAATTAGCTATGTCTTTTCTTATAGTTTTTGTCTTTTCAGGGTTAGATGTAAGGTCTGCTCTACTTGTTATCAGTTCTTTAGTTTTGTTTGTTACCCATTTTGTCCTGTTTTTTCTACTTTCCATTTTGCCCTTTTTAATAGTATAGAGGAGTTCTTCGAATTTATTGTATTTACTCTGTATGTCTAAGTCCTTTGTTTTTCCTATGAATTGTTCTATCTTTCCTTTTAGTGAATCGGTACTTTCTTGTGTTAAGCTGTTGGTTTGTTTTACTTTAAAGGGTCTGTCTTTATTGAGTGTGTTTATTTGTAACTTAGCTCTTAGCATCTTGTGGTTGCTGTTGAAATTAATATTGTTTAAAACTCTACAGTTCTGAAGGTCTTTACTTTTGTTTGTCAGTATGTGATCTATCTCGTTTTTGTGGTGACCATCTGGAGATATCCATGTCCATCTGTTGTTCTCACGTTTTCTGTATAGAATGTTTAGTACTTTTGTTTTCATATGCCAGTTGGACAAGTTTCTCCCCATTTCTTGTTCTTTTGCCTGAACAATACGGACTCAATATCATTTGTTCTCCGTCTCCTCTTGCCCCTATTCTTGCATTAAAATCTCCCATCACTACTAAATTCTTGTGCAAGTGTTTCATTATTGCGTCTTGTAACATGGAGTAGAACGTGTCGATTTCTTTTCTACTTGATTGTTCAGTTGGAGAGTAGACTTGCACAATCAACCACTTTTCGTTTTTCGGAGGCAGTTTTATATTAAGTATAACAATACGCTCTAAGACTTGTATTTATAATAGTAATAAATTAAGTTAAATGTTATGACAGACACAACCACCTTGATCTCTGTCATGCTTGCTTCTTCGGAATAAACTAATGTGTGGATGGTGATGTTTGATTCCCAAATGTAGTGATTTGGAGTTTGTGGCAAGTGCCAAGCGTGCGGATGCGGCATTAGAGTTTTAGAATATTTGCACATTACAATTTTTTCCATTAAATAATAATAACAAATTATTCACACATTTTTGTATTTTGTACCTACTATTGTGATTGTAATTTTAAAAACCTTCAATATTATGTTATTTTTTATTATTTCAAAGCAGTCAGTCCTTAAAAACTAAACACAAATAAAATGATTGGATAATGGTAAATGTGACAAAAGAGCACAGAATCCACCTGATGGTTGGATTGATTGATTGATTGGATTGATGATTGAATTGGACTGTGGCCCATAGACATCTTCATCTATCTAAAATTAAGAATTAAAATGCGGATCTTTAGTGACCTATAGGTCTACACTCACCATACGAAGCACAGTAGCATTAGACTGGTATTTTATGCTGGTATCTGTGAGAGCATGGTCAATCAAATAATCCACATTGATCATGAGATGTGGTAATCCTAGATCTGTGAGAGCATGGTCAATCAAACAATCCGCATTGATCATGAGCTGTGGTAATCCTAGTAAGAATACTATGTCATCGTTATCAAATAATTATAGTATAACCACTGTCATCGGTTCATAATATGGCTAAAAAATAACAGATTATTCAGATTTCCGCATTAATAGGTGAAAATTGAATTATATAAATACATACAGGTCAATACATTTATGTTAAAAACAAATTTAATTTCAAATCAGTATACATAGTACTGATTTTTAAAAAAAACTTGCTATTGAGTCCATTTTTCCAACATTAAGAGTAAAAAAATTGATTCAGTTTTATTTATAAGTTGGAAAGTTGGTTAAAAATTAATTCAGTAGACATCTTCATCTATCTAAAATTAAGAATTAAAATGCGGATCTTTAGTGATATATAGGTCTACACTCACCATACGAAGCACAGTAGCATTAGACTGGTATTTTATGCCGGTATCTGTGAGAGTGAGCTTCTTCTAAAGTCGAGCTGACTCATTAATGTTACAAACATTGCTGCAGCATGGCTCCACCATTTGCAAAAATAAACTATCTTTACCAATTTTTTATATTTTTACAAGGTTAACAAACAAGCAAACAGTTTACCTATGGTAAGTGGATGCTGTGGCCTGTGGAAACTTACATCCATCAACACAAACATTTGTGGGTGGAAGTTTAATTAAATTTTGATACTATACCCGTTTCTCTATTATACCCTTTTCAGTAATAAATTTTGTATTTTTTTAAATTCTTTGTAGTAGGTTTATTGCATTTGTCAATCATTAAGTTATGTTTTTTCATAGTTATAATCTAAAGAATCAATTTTTTTGTGATTATTTATACTACATAAATACATTTATACCCGCTAGAGCCACACTGCAGCTATATTATGGTTGTAGAATGAATTTGTCAGCTCGATCAGGGATGGAACACGCTCTCACAGAATACCAGCGTAAAATAGCAGCTTAATGCTGCTGTGATTTGTATGGTGAGTGTAGAGATCCGAAGACATTTTTTACTGGAAATGAGGCATTCCATCTTAGTCCTCAGGAGTGACAATGCTTTGGAAATGAGGCATTCTATCTTGGTCCTCAGGAGTGACAATGCATTGGAAATGAGGTATTCCATCTTGGTCCTCAGGAGTGAGAATGCATTGGAAATGAGGCATTCCATCTTGGTCCTCAGGAGTGATAACGCATTGGAAATGAGGCATTCTATCTTGGTCCTCAGGAGTGACAATGCATCTGCGTTTTGATTCTTAATCGGGAATAAATGTAGATGTCTCTGAGCCACTGCATCCACTTACCATCAAGTGGACTGTGTGCTCATTTGTCACCTTATTCTATAAAAATAATATTTTATAAAAATTTAATAACAAATACTTAATTTAATTTCTTAAAAACAGCTAAATATTATAAAAGTCTAAGCAATCTTTAAATTAATGCATATAATCAAACTCTGCTACTAGGTGATTAGTTGATTTGCCATCTTGTTTGGTGGTAAAAGAAAATATTGTGAAGAAACCTCTTAGCTAATCTCACTCACAAGCATATTTTAGTCTGTTACTTTCATTTGCTTGAAAAGTTTTAAAGTGCAAAAAGTCTTAAAAGTTTGATAGTATGTAAAAGTAAAGTAAAGTTACAGCCTATATACGTCCCACTGCTGGACACAGGCCTCTCCTCATTTCTGAGAGGGTTCGATAGTATGTAGACTGTTCTAATTATTTATTTTTTGTCCTGATTTGCAATCAATGAAAAATACACTGTATATGAAATGGATGGTTTATTGCAAAATATTTTTCTGGACAACTGTTAGTAAATAATTAATCTTAAACTTTGTACTTCTGTAATAACTTAGCTCGTTTTATCTTTTGCAGATGGAATTCACTCTTAATTGGGGTGTAGCTGGTGTAGGCATGATCAGTCATGATTTTTTGACTGCAATGGCTGATTTACCAACCAGTAAACACAGGGTCATTGCTATTGCTGGAAAGGACCTGAATCGCACTCACAGATTGGCCACGTTACATAATATCAGCACCGCTTATGAAGGCTATGAATCGCTCGCCCATGACAACTTTATTGGTAATTAATTTTAATAACTATGTCAATGGTTCCATTGTTTATAAACTGCTAGGTTTATTGACTTTGCAGATGTATGGTGAGATCCATTTCGTCATTACATTTTTCTACTTTTAATATCACCAACTATTCTGCTGTTATTAAATAATATTCAGGGTTTATACACAAAATTTTCTTATACAATATTTTCTTTATTTTTGTATCGGGTCCAATATTACAATATAAAAATTTGAACATATCTCCGCCCCCGTGCGCGCGCGCGCGTGTGTGTGTGTGTGTGTGTGTGTGTGTGTGTGTGTGTGTGTGTGTGTGTGTGTGTGTGTGTGTGTGTGTGTGTGTGTGTGTGTGTGTGTGTGTGTGTGTGTCTGTGTGTGTGTCTGTGTGTGTGTGTGTGTTTTGCAATTTTTCAATTATCACAAAAAAAGTTCAAATCACACACAAACAGTGCAAATCGTTCCAAGGATTCTTAGTTCAAATATTTAACTTAAATATTTAAAAAAGTCCGTGTTTTTTGTATTAGTGTAGTTCTTACATAACATGACAGTTTAATGTAATGCCAAATGTTCGTAATAGTTGTACACGTTCGAGGTAATTGCTCTTAGAACCGAGAAATAATGTGATTTAATGAGAAAAGAAGAGTCATCATTCAGACATCAAATGAAAAGAGCGATTCTTCGTTTAACATATCTCTTTTTTTTTAAATATCTGCCCTCAGAGTAATAATCCGTTTTTGAGGAATAATTCCTCGAGTAGTAAAATCATAAGATGTTAAGGAATATATAAGCGTTGTTATATTAACTTGCACTCAACATTTATTTAGGTTTATTTAATTTTTATGAACTTTCTTCCCTTTTGCTTCGTTATGATTGCCAGTGTGTTCATATAAAGTATATTACAATATTCATCGAAAATATTGAAAAGAAAAGATGCTTGATTTAGAGGCTTGATGTGAAGTTCGCCAACACGCGTTTGGAAAACGCGGCGGACATTTCCTTGTCCTAAAACCCTCTCAGAATTGAAAGGAGGCCGGTGCCTAGCTCAGTAGGACGTATTTAACTTTTCTTCATCAAGTAGATGCTCTATAATTATTGTTTCGTAGGTGAGCTTTGCGACGTAGCTTGGCCATCTCGATGGAAAAACAATGTTTCTTGTTTCAATGTTGTTTTGGCTAGGAATCAGAAAATTTGTACAACCTAATAGGACGCGGAGCTTGCTGGTAAATGTAAAAAGTCTGTGATTATGTGCTGTGCCCTCATCACTACATTCTTGCTACCCGTACAAACGCTATTCTAATATAAACCGAGGGAATGACTAAGGACTGATTTTTAAGAAGACAAAAGTGACCACGGGTGCTGGAAAGCACCCCATACGTCGGGTATTAAAAATGAAATAAATAAAACGCGATAAAATCCGTAAAAGTAGTTTTAATCAAGACAAAAGTTATTCATAAATGTTTCTTAACAGAGTAGAGTAGTAGAAAAATAAATTCACTGTACCTAATGTTCCTATTTTTTCATAACTTTCACAAACTCAGTTCTAAGTTATTTAAAACTAATAAGATTTTTTTTTAATTTCCGTACTCTATTGCCAATTGCTTAAACGGAGTATAAACATTTATTCCTCATA